TGCTCAAAACTATTTCTCAGAGGAGCTGCTCATTAATTAAAATTTATGAAGTGCTTAGGGAGTTTCATAGGAAAATATAATTCTCACAAGCTCTATACAAAGTTGAAGCTATGAGCAAGAATGCCAGTTAAATATAATTCTTTGTTTTTTTGAGACAGGCTCTCATTATGTAACCCACACTGACCTTTAACTCCCAATCCTTCCATCTCAGTCTCTGAGGGCTGAAATTTTATTTCATTTTTGTAAGTCATTGACTTGAACTCAGGGCCTGGGCACTGTCCCTGAGCTCTTTTGCTCAAGGCTAGTGCTGTAACCCTTTGAGCCACAGCACCACTTCCAGTTTTTTGGTAGTTAACTGGACATAAGAGTGTCACATATTTCCTGCCTTGGCTGGCTTTGAACCACAATCCTCAGATCTCAGCTTCCTAAGTAGCTAGGATTATAGGAATGAGCCACTGGTGCCTGGCTTGGAAATTTTCATTATATGCAAATTATATCTCAATAAACTTGATGTTATAAATTGGAGCATTTTTTCTTTAAACAGCAGTTGGTCTTTCTTTGTGAGTTACACTATGATTTCTTCCATTTAATTTTTGTTTTTCAATGCTAGGAATTGAACTCAAGGCCTTTCACATACTATGCAAGTGCTCTACAAATGAGTTATATACCAGCCTCTCAATGTTTTATTATAATGAAACAAGATTGCACCTAGGGTATTCAAATCAATTGATTGTTAACATACTGATTAAACCTATGCCTCATGATATGGCCTAGGTTTGTTACTGTTAATATACACAAAAGCTGGTGAATATTCATACATCTGAATATTGTGTTAGGTTTTTGTTGTTGTTGTTTTTGCTGTGACAAATACCTGCAACAATTTTACAAAGTCTCAGGGCATGAACAAAATGGAGACAAGTTTTTTGCCACAGTGTAACACAATTCTAATAGAATTCTCAGCAGAGTCCTCACTTTTTACTGAAATCTCATTTTAAAAAATATGCACAGCCGAGAGCTGGTGGCTCACTCACGCCTGTAATCCTAGCTACTCAGGAGGCTGAGATCTGAGGATCGCGGTTCAAAGCCAGCCCGGGCAGGAGAGACCGCGAGACTCCTATCTCCAATAAACCACCAGAAAACCGGAAGTGGCGCTGTAGCTCAAGTGGTAGAGCGCTCGCCTTGAGCTGAAGAGCTGAGGGACAGCGCTCAGGCCCAGAGTTCAAGCCCCACGACCGACAAAAAAAAAAAAAAATGCACATACCTGGGTGCCAGTGGCTCATGCCTGTAATCCTAGCTACTCAGAAGGCTGAGATATGAGGATCACGGTTCAAAGCCAGCTGGAGCAGCGAAGTCCATGAGACTCTCATCTCCAATTAACCACCAGAAACCAGAAGTGGCACTATGGTTCAAGTGAAAGTGCTCTCCTTGAGCTGAAGAGCTCAGGGACAGCACCCAGGCCCAGAGTTCAAGCCCCACAACCCACAAAAAAAAGTGCACATATACATATAGGCATATGTATGTACACACACAAAAACAACAACAACAACAAAAAAACTTTGATACAGAAAAGGCCTAAATTGGAGTTGTAGTTCTAGCTTGGTAATGTATTCATCTCTGGGCTCATTTATCTGTAATATAATGATGTTGATCCATATAAATCCTTAGCCTCTTAGTTATTTTGTTGCCCAGTAGAGCTTTTATTCAACCTTCATCTACTGGAACATTATTATTGAATTATTAGATACAAGAAAAGGGAATGGTGTTATCCTTCATCAACAAACACTGAGCACCTGCGTACCATATAAAGGGACCAGCTGAGAAACTGTGGATATAGTCTCTGCCTTAACAGTCTGGTAGGAAAAATAGCCACATGTAAGTACTTTACCCTGCATGTTACTGCTAACCTGTTCATAAAATGCTCTTAGAAAATAGAGAAAGGAGACATCACCTCTGCAAGAATGAGTACAGGCTTTACAGAGTATAATAAGGCTAGATGATAGGACATGGCTGAGCTGCCTGGTTGGAAATAGAGAAGAATGGGCATTCAAGGCAAGAAGTTCCACACGTCCAAAGGTATTAATTTCTGAATATACTACCATGTTCTAACTCCATGTCTTTGGACAACTTTGCCTAGCCTAGGACATTTCCCCTAGCCTTTTTGTCTTAAAATTCTATCCTTCTTCGGAGGGGTACATTCCTGAAAAAGCACAGCCAATTGTAGATAGCGGCTGGTTAATGGGGTCTCAGTGAGGCCATGCAGAGAAAGAGGCTGGAGAGGTGAGTTAGGGTCAGGTGAGAAACAGCTTTGAGGCCAGGCTAAGGGATTCGAACTGGGTCTCAAGGACAACAGGTCACTATATTAGTGAGATGAAGAGCAAAGTCAACAGCTAGGTTTGACATAGAAGTTAACTCTAGAGCTATTGGGGAGAATGGATTAGAATGATCCATCAGGAGGCTGATGCTATAAAGAGCTACTTTCTTCATTTTTAGACCTTATTCTCAATGGACTGTGTAAGACCCAAATCCCACAAGGAGGCCATGGATCTTAGCCAGGGCTTAGCTCTAAGCAACCTAAGCCCTTGAGACCTACTACAGGGATGTTGTGAAAGTAAAGGCAGAACAATAGGTGAACGCTTCTGGATGTCTCAGATCGTGCAGGTCAAAGCCTTTCCTGACCTGGATGGAAATGTTCTCCCAGAGAAATCCACGGATCTCACTTTCTCTGACACATCACAGAGACAGGAAGTAAGGAGAACTGTTAGAAGCGGTGTTGACATCTTCACTTCAACACGCACAGGGGCCACCTGAGCTGGGATGGATGGGCTCAATTCTACCAAAGCTGCTGCTGTGTAGACTACGTTAGGTCTGCCTAGGAGTACAACACATCCCCCCTTCCTCTTCACCTGCCTGAAACCAGTAATCATCTGCCAATCACCTGACTGTGAGTCAGAAAAGGACCCCAGACTACCTCCCAAGGGTTAGGATGACAGGCTTGAGCTACATATTGGCTCATCCCACAATTCTTTCGTGTGTGCCAACCCAGGGTTTGAACTTGGCTTTTTTGGCTCACAGCTGGTGCTCTAGAACTTGCTCCGTGTCTCCAGGCCCACTATTTGTTGATCCATTGAGGTCTCACACTTTTATTTCCTAGGCTGGCTTCTTCAAATCATGTTCCTCTAGGTCTCAACCTCCTGAATAAGAGGATTATAGCTGAGAGCTGCCTGTGCCCACCTTCGTTCAACAAATTTTCTCTTTATGTAATAAGCACAAATGAAATGCTTATTATGTGCCAGGCAAGCTTCTAAGTATATATATATATATATATTTTTTTTTTTTTTTTTTTTTGTCGGTTGTGGGGCTTGAACTCTGGGCCTGGGCACTATCCCTCAGCTCTTCAGCTCAAGGCGAGCGCTCTACCACTTGAGCTACAGCGCCACTTCCGGTTTTCTGGTGGTTTATTGGAGATAGGAGTCTCACGGTCTCTCCTGCCCGGGCTGGCTTTGAACCGCGATCCTCAGATCTCAGCCTCCTGAGTAGCTAGGATTACAGGCGTGAGCCACCAGCGCCCGGCCTTCTAAGTATATTTTTAAGACAAATACTCATTTGATTTTCCTCACAACCCATATGGTAAATGTTGTTTTATCCTGTTTTAAGGACAAGGAAGTTGAGATACAGAAACATGAAGTAACTTGTCCAAAGACACACAGTATGGTAGGCAGCCCAGGGAACCTTATCACAGGGGAACAGGTGTGGCTGAGTTCTTTCTACAGTACCACACAGAACGTGGGGTCTAGGATCCCCAAGTATGGCTGTACTTGAATTTATAAGATCCAGACATGGTTCTCTTGTTTGGTTTTATCAAAGGAATGTAAGCAACTGACAACTCCAGCTTTTCTTCTCCTCAGGCTTTCTATTGAAATCCACTCTTAGCTCTGCCTTCCAGCAAATTTCTGGAAGCCCTGTTTATATAAGGGCTTAGTGTCTTTCTCTTCACCCAGACACCAGAACTTTTGAGTGTTCTTCATTTCTGAGCAGCAAATGATAGCAAACTGGTCCTCCTCAGACCCCCCCTTTACCAGGCATGGGTACTCATCTTCTGGCTGCTTCTCCAGGGCTGACTGCTGACAGCTCTCCAGAGAATTAATAGTTTTAGGTTGAAAAAAAGCTCAGGCTCCCAGTGACTGGCACAATTTTAAGGGCAAAGCTCTACTAAAAGGACTTCCAGGTCAGATGAGTTTTGTTCAAAGTGAGACCCTGAGGAATCTAATGTATCAGAGCTCTAAGTGAGGCCAGATGTAACTTCCTGGATTGCCTTAGTTCACTTTGATGATTGGTACCAATTTAAGATCCAAGTAGTAGCATCTCTTTCTACTATTATTGAATAATTCATCCCTTCTCCTCTTGTTTTGCAGTTTTCAATTTTGCGTTTTTAGCTATCCTGTGTATATCCTACCGGGTCATTTTTGTTTGTTTGCTTATTTACTATTTAGTGCTGGCACTGGGGATTGAAGTAGGAGGGTGCTGTCCCTTGGGGGGGGGGGGGTGCTTGAATTCAGAGCATGGATGCAGTTCCTGAGCTCGTTTGCTCAAGGCTAGTGCTCTTCCACTTGAGCCACCGCTCTACTTCTGGATTTTTTGGTAGAGATAAGAGTCTCATGGGCTTTCCTGCCCAGGCTGGTTTTGAACCTCAATCTTCAGACCTCCGTCTTCTGAGTGGCGAGTATTACAGGTGTGAACCACAGGCACCCGACCCCACCTGAAGTCTTGAATAGCATAGGCCTGGCTCTGGGTGGGAGAGATCAGGCCAGGGCGGACAGGAGGAACCAGCTGAGGACAACGCAGCTGAGCAAGGAAAGCCGACTGTGGGCAGGCAGGCAAAGGCCTGGCCAGCCGCTGGCAGGAAAGTGCGCGTGCGCAGAGGTCCGCGGGAGCGCGGGTAGGGAGGTTGTGAGCGCGGCGCGGGGGCGCGCACGCCGGCGGGGGCGCGCACGCGGGCGAGGCGCGCGAGCAGCCTTGGTCCTAGTAGCTTCCTTCAGCCGCCGTCGCTGCGCTCTCGCTGTCGCTCCCGACACGGTCGTCTCCGCCGAGCCGCGGGCGCCGCGGGAGGGAGCGGCCGTGCGTCCGCCGCCTGCCGGTGGAGTCGGAGGCCGGCCCTCTTGGAGTTGGGCTGCCGGAGCCGGGGCCGGGCACGGCGCTGACGGCCCCGCGGAGCTGAGACCTCCGGAGAGGACAGGCGGCGACGCGGAGGCTCGGGTCCGGCCGCCCCCGGAGCCCGGAGGAGGCCGGCGGGACGATGTCCGGGGGGTCGGGTCAGCTCTCCACCACCGAGCGCGTCGTCAAAGGTGCCCTCCTCCGCGACCTCGCCGGACGGCGGCTGGGGGGGCGGGGCTCCCCTCCTCCCCCGGGGACAGCCCTTCCCCCTCCTCCCCCGGGGGCAGCCCCGACCCCCCCCCCCAACAGCCCACGGTACCCTGGCAGTAGCCAGGTAGAGGTCCCCCTTTCCCGGGTTGTCCCGTGCGAGGGGTGGGGTCTGGGACCTCTTACCATCATCATCATCATCCATGATCGCTTCAGGAAAGAGTTCCTTCCCCTCCCCACCCCCAAGAAGCGAGGCATCTGCGGTGATAAGGAGCCAGGGGACCAGACTTTCCAAGTCAAGCCTGCCTGGAGGGTCAGATCTTTCTGGCACTCCTACCCGCCCGCTGTAAAGGGCATGATACGGAGTACTTTTGGCGCTCATTTCTCTGAGATCCTTAGAAGTCACTGCTCTTAAGAGAAACGTTAACGAGATGACATAGATACAGACAAGTCCTTTTAGTGGTGTGTAAAGGGAACTTACAGATCCGGACATGCTGTTTTTCTATGTTCTCTTGGCTATCGAGATTGGGAGAAGAACAATGTTCCCCGATTTAGCCGGCCACTGCTATTAGATTTCCCTTGTTGTTGTTGTTAGAACAAAACTGAAGTATCCCCTTGTAAATCTTGCAGAGTTTTATGTTGTAGTTATTTGTGCCCTTACACTAGTAAGACCTGTCAAACATGACCACTAACTCATGGCTTCTTTCGTCCAGCTGTGAGACTTAAAGCCCAGCCCTTCTCTCTCTTTTAAGTGTTAATAATCGGTTTGAAGGCACTATTTTATAAGAAGGGAATATACGTAGACCAGCTGTGTTATTGATGGATGAAGTGGTTATCATTAGAAAAGTATTTTTAAAAACTTTTCATTTTTGTCATTATAAGGAGAAAATTAACATTGCTAGCAACAGTATCTTTTATTTAAGGAAGAAAATCCATTTATATGTTCAGTACTAGGATCATAAATGTTCATTATGTACACTACATAATACTAAATATAATGGTATTTTTGAGACTTACCTACTCAGAATTTGTGTGAGTGACATTATTAGGGATTGAAGTCAATTTTCATATAACTGACCCATCCCTTTAACAGCTCAGTTATTATGAGCTTTTTAGTGTAAGTCTTCATAGCATCTGACCCATAAGGAGGATATAACCCTCTTTTAAGACTTGGAACGTAAATATACAGAACCTTTTTTGATGAATCAAGATCATTATTACCTTCACATTTCTACTATTCTGTCAGTATGGCGGGTGTGTTCCTCTGTGAAGAGGTGTTGGCAGTTTTCTCCTACACTAAATTTGCTCCTCACTGCTATACCATTTTAGTATTTTTGTCATTTTCTTTCCAGTGCTCTTCTCTGTCAAATATACCCTCATTGCTTTCTAATCTCTTACTTCTAAATGTAGTAGGCAGGGAACTCAGCAAAACAAGAACTGTGTGGCAAGTCTGGGTAAGTTAAGATCAGAGTGAAACCCTTAAGAACTTAAGCATTCTCAAACTGATCACCAGCATACTGTGTAACTTCCACCATAAAATAAGAAACACATTTCAAAATGCCCCTTTCAGGCATTTAAATATGGAAATAAAATGTGGTTAATATGTAGGTTCTTCTGACTGCAAGGCTTGCTTACAACTCACTGAACTCCACCCTTATAGGCTACGTGCTACAAATTTGTTCTTTAGCAAAATTACAAATTACATAGTATGTTGTATATTTTTAAGATTGCTCTGAAATGAAACAAGCGATTTTATGCCTTTACAGTATGTGAATTTGTCTAGCATATAAAAACCTTAGCCTAAGAACTTAACCTTTGAAACATTGGTTTCTCTTAATGTTGCTTGTTTTTTTTTTCTTTTTTTTTGAAGGGGGGAGAGAGTTTGGGTTTTCCAGAGTTTGAAATAGAGCTTAATTTTTCTTTTCAGAAAAATCAGGCTTGGCTGAGTAGTGAAGGCTGGTTGTATTGGGCATGAAATCCTGGTCTGATGCTATGGTGTCTGACCAGAATTGTCTCCCTTTGTTCACAGCTCCAAAGCTTCTGCTGAGGTGATACCGCACCCCAGTTATTTTTGGTTCTGTTATTTCCTGTTAACTTTAAAGTCTTGCCTAATTGTTTAGCTTGAACAAGTCTTAGAGGAGACTGGGTGGGTGGGCGGGCAGGAGAAGTGTCCTTTAAATGCAGCTTTCTAAAGCTGAAGGAGGAAGGGTCTAGCAGTCAGAAAACCAAGGGTTTATTACTTACACTTCTAGGCCTTATTTGTGACCTTGCCTTTTTTAGCCTTCCCTTTTACTTGTTTTTGGTTAATCTTTGTAATATATCTTTCTAACCAGACTGGGTCATGCAAATGACATACTTATGGTTGTGGAAAGCTTAGATAAGGTAATATTATAAAACATGTTTGCAGGGCTGGGAAGGTGGCTCAGTGGTAGAGTGCTTGCCTTGCATGCATGAGGCCCTGGGTTTGATTCCTTAGCACCACATAAGCAGAATAAGCCAGAAGTGGTGCTGTGGCTCAAGTGGTAGAGTGCTAGTCTTGAGCTGAAGAGCTGAGGGACAAACCCCAGGCCCAGAGTTCAGGCTCCACAACCGACCAAAAAAAAAAAGTTTGCAGTTTTATAATAGACTTCTAACTACGTACATGCTTAGCAGAGAAATCATTAGCACTTAAAGACTACCAGAATTTAAAAGTGTGTGGAATTATAAATTATCAAGCTCTTCCTAGTGGGAAAAATAACCTGTTCTCCAGTATGAAAAGCAGAGTCCCCATCAGTAACAGTGAAGAGAGGCAAATGTACTTCTGTGTAATACTTGCCATGTGGCAGATTTTGTTTAAGAACTGTTAGGATTTCATCCACTTATTACATGTTTGTCGAGTGTTATCTTCAGCATACCATAGTGCATGCGCATTTGTTACTTTGTGGAGTATTATCATCAGCATACCATAGTACCTGTGCATTTGTTTTTGTTTTTTGGGTCCAGTCGTGGGGCCTGAACTCTGGGCCTGGGCACTGTCCCTCAGCTCAAGGGTAGCACTCTACCACATTGAGCCACAGTGCCACTTCCGTGCGCATTTGTTACTTTGCTTTAAGAGTGATATTTCTGCAGGTCTCAGAGCAGTCAGTCATGTGTGCTGGGTATATTACTACTGGTGCGGCAACACAGGACACCAAGAAATGAATTGTGAAATTCTTTGTCTCCTTTTAGTTTTCAAGTTTCTTTTCTTGTTTGAAAAAAAAAATTTGGAGGGTGGGGGGTCCAGTCATGGGGCCTGAACTCTGGGCCTGGGCGCTGTCCCTCAGCTCTTCAGCTCAAGGCTAGCGCTCTACCTCTTGAGCCACAGCACCACTTCGGCTTTTTTCTTTTTTTGCTTATGTGGTGCTAAGGAATCGAACCCAGGGCCTCATGCATGCAAGGCAAGCCCTCTACCACTGAGCCACCTTCCCAGCCCCTTGTTTGAAGATTTTTTTTTACAGTGATTTTTATTTTTGTTTTTATTTTTGCCAATCCTGGGACTTGAACTCAGGGCCTGGGTGCTGTTCCTGAGCCTCTTGGTGCTCAAGGCTAGTGCTCTAGCACTTTGAAACACAGCACCAATTCTGGCTTTTTCTGAATATTTTACTGGAGATAAGAGTCTCATGGACTTTTTTTGGGGGGTCCGGTCATGGAGCCTGAACTCTGGGCCTGGGCACTGTCCCTCAGCTCTTCAGCTCAAGACTAGCACTCTACCACTTGAGCCACAGCGCCACTTCTAGCTTTTTTCTTTTTGCTTATGTGGTGCTGAGGAATCGAATCCAGGGCCTCATGCATACAAGGCAAGCACTCTACCACTGAGCCACATTCCCAGCCCCTCTCATGGACTTTTATGCCTGGGCTCACTTCAAATTGTGATCCTCAAATCTCAGCCTCCTAAGTAGCTAGGATTAAAGGCATGAACCAACAGTGTCTGGCTATTTGAGAGAATTTTAATATAATATATTTAAGGAAAAAATGGTAAAAATTCCCTTTTTTGTAATATAGATAGAATTTGGGGAATCATATATTGATAAATACTTGATGAGTTCCATACACATGCAACACATTTTTGGTTATAGTTAGAGGCTTGTGTATGTACTTAAGCAGCATAGCATATACTAGCCTCCCAAAAATATAACAAAGTTAGAACTATGGACTTGCCTGTGACTAATACCACTGGAAAGAGTAAATGACTAAACCTTAGACTACATCTGGTGTGAGATATTTGTTCCCACACTCTAGAAATTGATAATCTTTCCTTTGTTTTGATGGTAGGACTGAGTCAGACCTATCACCCAATAACCCTCTAAAGCTTAAACTTTTAACTATTATCAATAGCCTAAAGAAATGAGCCTTAATTGGTGTTTTTTTCTGTGTATGCCTAGGTATTTTTGTGGCCTAAGTGTTTATGGAAATTTAAAAGAAAAATAGCGTAGTCTTAATAAATGACTGGAATAATAAAGTTGGTTAATTTTTACTATTGTGCAGCTGGTTTATGGAAAACAGCTGGCCTTGGTGGCTCGTGCCTGTGATCCTAGCTATTCAGGAAGCTAAGATCTGAGGGTTGTGGTTCAAAGCCATCCTGGGCAGAAAAGTCCATGAAACTTTATTTCTCAGAAAAAGCTGGAAATGGTACTGTGGCTCAGGTGGTAGATCACTAGCCTTAAGCAAAAGAGACTCAGGTATAGCACTCAGGCCCTGAGTTCAAGCCCCCAAGACTGGCAAAAAGAAAAAGAAAATGTATTATGTCACCCATAGAGGTTATTGTTTTCTGTAGGCTGGAGGTTTCTCAAAAAAGTAAAAGCAGCCAGGTGATGGTAGCTCACACCTAATTCTAGCTACTTAGCCTGGACTGACAAATCAGAGAGACTTTTCATCTCCAGTTAAATAGCAAAAAGCCAGAAGTAAGTTTGGCTCAAGTGGTAGGGCACCAGTTGAAAGGAGAAAAACCTAAGCAAGAACGTTGAGG